CGACTACTACCTCCCTGTGGGATAAAACCCAGATAGGGGTATGTGTATTGTAAAAATTATTTGAATAGTGTCACCTCTCTCCTTTTCTTCCAGACAAAAAAGGTAGCGGGTAAAGTTGTCAATACATCATCAGCCGTTACTACTATAGCGTCGACGCAACAAAAAAGCATTACAGTTATCTCCTCTTCGTCAGTAATGCCCCAAAGATCTCTCACAATAATTAAACCTAGAGGAACAACAATAGCAACGGCGCCACGTGTAACCGCTCCCCGTCTTGTAGCACAAGCTGAACGGAACGCAGCAGCACAGTTGGCATCCACCACGAAAAATACAATGTCCTACACTACTGCAATAATGACGACATCTCGGGCGACAACTAAAATAGTTACAACAACTGCCACTCAAACTTTCGCCGCTAAACTAACAGAAAGTACTTCGACTAGTCAACTTCCCACAACTCAATCCTTACAAAAGTCGAGACCTTCGCAGTGTTTAAATGTGCCACAGGGAATTGTTGGAGCGCCAACGGTGCAAACATCGAGCACAATTATTCACGGTCAAGGATCACCAAAGCATCATCGTCCCACACCTACGGCATCCGCACCGCCTACTATGCAACATTTCCAAACTACCGGAAAGTTTCCCTCTTTCGCCACTCCTACCACTCAAGTATCGAATATTTGTAGTGGAGTGGAGATGAGAACACACAGTCCCATACTACAACAGGCAACGTTAATCCCAGTAACTTCGTCACATGTGGAAACGATACAACCGACATCCATTTCAAATGTGACGACCACCCAAGAGTATTCACTTTTTAACTCCATGGCGCAACAACCGACCTGGAGACAAGAAACTGAATCTCACAAACCGATTAATTTTGCCGCAGTTACCGGCGGCAATACGTCTCAAGTTCCTCCGAGTAAATTTGTGGATAATGATCCGCCTCCGCAAGTTGACGCCTCGAAAGCGCCAGGTTACAGAGGAGCCGCGATGGGTTCGCCTGTTTCATCCAAAACTAGCAGCAACAGCACGACACCTCCAAGTTTACCTTTAAGTTCGGCATCTAATTATCCTACTTATCCTGAACAACCAAAAACGCAACCCCTTCCCCCAATTGGTACAAATATCATGCATAATCGATCAGTTGCTCAAACAAACCAACACGATATCGCGAACAGTCATTACTACCCAAGTTCCGATTTACCTTCACGTTCCATGCAGCATCTGGCCCATTCGGACACCAACTTATATAAGACTGGATCTACCGGGTACCCAGAACAGACTCCTATAAATATGTTGAATATTCCAGTTGCGGATTCGCAACCGCACTTGTTGTCATCTTACCATCAGTCGAATTCCATGCAACATCTCAATTATTCTCAATCTCAGCAGCAGCAGCAGCAACAATCCGTGCAAATCAGTGCGACGCCGGTCAGTATGTCGAGATTAAACCCGAAAGCGCCGGACTTCTCTGTACATACGATATCCAACAAACCGCCGCAGATGTATAACGGGTATGCGATGGGAAATAATCAAAACAACTCGCTGCATACCATGAATAAATCTAGTATGAACAACTACCACAGATCGGCGATGAACAATCCTCAGCAAAATCGCTGGCATTTACTCCAAATGCAGCAGCCCTTCACTCCACAGCAAACCGAATTGATTAGCGGAATGGCGGGCATGACCTTACATAACATTGCCAGAGCGGCAGGTGGTGAAATCCTCGAAAACGGCGGAGAACTAAACACAGTGAGCAACTCGCCTGCTATGTCCCCAAACTTACCACCGGCTCATAATCTACATCCCAACGATGGGCATTACATGGAAGACCGTAAACAACCGCAACCTATTGGCACCGAACGGGCTCGCAAGACCCAAAATCCTAACATGGATAACAACTGGATGATGTCAAACGATTCGAAAATGATGGTCGGCCGCCAATGGACGGGATCAAACAATATCGATCGATATCCTATATTACGAAACCAAATGGATGCGGATTACATTTCACATCCGTTAGACTCATTCCAGGTAAGCGTCTCACGTAATTTTGGCACAATTAACAAAGAAATGACGACGTAGCATGGAATGCCATTAGAAAATCCTCACAATTACGCTAGCGGGGCGCAGTTCCCCACTTACCTGCTTCAACAACAGATGACAACAATGCGCCCACTCGATTTCGTTCCCAACGATCCGCTAAAGATGGAACTGCCACAATGGGAAACATCGCGCCCAAACATGACTGATTTACAAGAAAAACCACACGTAAGTATTTAGGAAAACAGGTTGGTGTAATTGGAAAGTTAGCGAAAATGTAATTCCATTTTTGCACATTTCCATAAGAATTCGAAGGGAAAGGTGCCCCAGTATAAGATGGTGAAAAGTACCTTTTTTATTGAAATAATTCTCTTACCGCTGTCGGTGATTCAGATTCATTTGGGATGTGTCTTCACCCTTGGAGACTAATTACAGAAAATGGCCTCAAGAACCTCAATTTTTTTCTCTTCTTTCTACCTTAATCATTAAGGGTGTTAAATGATGGAGAAAAAACTGTGACTCACATAATACACTAGTTATAAGGAAACTAACCATATGTACTGTGTCTTTGTCACTTATTAAACACCTGCTCATTCTTTGTTTATTTTGTTAATTTAAAGTGCACCAGCCAAACATACGGCAAAGTTTTTCAAATTTTTCACCCTTATTTTCTAATTTAACACTATTCATGATTAAGGTAGTAAGACAGGGAAAAAAATCAGCTTTCTAATGATATATCACATGACCTATGTTCCCACTAAAAAAAATTCAAGATGGCGTCCGCACTTAAAACACCCTGTATAAAAACAAGTCTTTTAACCTCAAAATATCTGAAATACTTTCAAATGACTACTAAACCACGATCTAGGTTATGCTTATCTCCATGTAAAAGCTTACCAGCTAACACGTCTATATGTCCATCGGTTATTTTAATACCTATCTGCTACAGTTCTTTTCTTACAGAACTAACATGGCTACAGATCAGAGGCTGGTCTAGGATTGTAGCTATATTTTACTAACAATATTAAAATTAAGGTGTTTATTTGTTTCAAGAAGTTATTGTGGATGCATAAAATTAGGCGCTCTTCAGAAGGATTTTGTCTTTTAAAAGTAGACATACTTACGGAAAAATTATACACGTAAATCCCTATGTCTTCTTCTTAATGAGTATAGTTAAGTAATATACAAATTATAAAATCAAACACTCCATTAAATTGTTCACTAAACGTCAATAATTGCGGACCTGCAATTTACATCAAACACCAATAAATTGCGAGTGGCGCCATCTAACTAACAAGCGGAAAGTGATCAAAGGGAGCCGTCATGGTAAAGACAGTGTGTATATGTAGAACTTTCATGGTCGTTTGCACCAATCTCAATAATCATTGCCATGCTTCAGCTAAGCTCCACTTAAATTTGTTGGTGCAAACGGCCATCAGGCCTTTTAAAATGCTAATTAATAACACAGGTAAGAGAAGGGCGAAAGGGGATGCAATGAATCTTCCTTCTTTAAAGGTCACTTCACTATTCTATCCTGGATATCCTTTGCCGTAATCTCTTTTTTTTTTATTCAGGCGCTATGTTAACTATATTTTTTTAGGGTTGGCCGGGTTTGACCAACAAGTGGAACCAATAAATTAATTTACAACAAATAGAATTTCGTACTATAAGCGTTTTTAAAGTCCATTTATCCTGAAATTAGCTTTCTATCTTTGTGATGTTTGGGATACAAATTTTGCAGTAGTATTGAATCGTAGTTTTGTTCAAATTTTTGTACCCAAATGTGTGCATGTTATACGAACAGCGCCAACTTTACCAGCGAGACGCGTAATATAATTGAATTGTTAATGTAATCGATACCAGTCGAGGTTGTCCTACTTGTAGTACATATTTGCATGTCTCATTTGTTTTGATAACTGCTTATAGTTTATCACTTTTACTTTTTCTGTAGCAGATTTTAAACATGATTGATATCAGCTTCGTTAGTGGTAAACAGTCGAGCTGATCCAATTGGAGTTAGACATATAATACTAAACACAAAATATATATTGTAGTAGCGCAGTGGTGTTGAGGGATTGGCGATAGAGGCAAATGTTTTAATCATCATGTGGAATATAATTAATTTGTTCTCTATTTATATTTAATTTTATTTCTAAGTGCAGTGTTGTACGCAGCACATTTGAGTTGCGCATAGCACAAACACTATGGGTATCGCTGACTCCCATGAATATGTAGGGTTATAATTATACGGAATATGTAATATTGCTTGTACATGAAGACTTAAATATATCTTTATGCACTGTAAATCATAAATAAAGGGTCTTAATACCTCTCCTAACCTAAAGGCTAAAAGTGCTCCTTTATTAAATTACGCTTATTTATCTCTTAACAAACTACTAATTTTTCCACAGCTTTATAGGTCATTATCTCCTATCCCAGGAGATGAAAGATTCAAAACTTTAAAACAATCAATTGCCCCGAGAAAATGTATATAGTTGGACATATTACGAGTTGGTCAAAAAGGAATGGAAAACCGTTCGGATACAATGTAGCAGTAAGAGCATCTGTAAGTTGTTTTGGTTTAAATCTAGGTGTATCATAATATATTGCAATTAACCTTCACATTGGGCTGGTGGCGGTAATTTGCTTAAGAGCACATGTTGCATAGCAAAGGAATGATAATCAACTAATTGACTACCAAAATTAAGCTGTGTAGACATATAGTGAAGATCGTTATGGAATCAGTTGGCATGAATCATATTGTAAATCATAACCTGGGCTTAATCAAGTAGATTGGGCCAGTGACCACGGAAGGGCAAGGAATCAGTTTAGGGGATTGTAGAGGACAAGTTTTTTGTCTTTCATTTTTTTGATAGAATGTATAGGAAAGTGTCTTGCTGTTTTACCAAGAATCAACAAATGTTACAGTGAGCGGAATAGGACTTTTTCTATTTTGATTTTTACATGTTATTTTCTTACAGATTTTTACTAACAACCAAAATTGGACCACTATTAACATACCCCTTTTATTTCTGTATCAAATTGTACCATTTGATGAACATGACCTAAGAAATCGTGCTCACGGACGTCTAAAAATCAAGGAAATATGAGAATAGTTTGCCAAACATTAGTAGTGAAAATTATTTAATTCGTCAATGATACGCCACTGGAATATTTTCCGGGAAATTCTAACTTCAGGGTACTGGTCCTAACCTCAAATCGCTAAGAATATAAACAATGAATAAAGTAATATTGGGAGGTGGTTTAAGCGGTTTATCTGCCGCTTATTATTTACGCCGCAAATTCCCTTTGCAAGAAATAACATTATTGGAGGGGTCCAGTCGTACAAGTGGTTGGATTAAATCGACAAAATATGACGATTTCATCTTCGAGCAAGGTCCAAGAACGATCAGGCCACAAGGCGTAAAAGGAATTAATACATTGAAATTGATCGAAGAACTTGGATTAGAAGACGATATCAAATTTATACCTAGAAATCATCCGGCTGCATTAAATCGTATGATATACGTCAATGGTCAGTTGCATACTTTACCTTCGAGCTTATTGCGAATTTTGACTAAACAGCCGCCTTTTTCAAAATCTCTACTTAATTATCTCGTACGCGAAGTGGGACAACCTCGAAAGTTTATACGTAGTAATGACGAATCGATTTATGATTTCGTTTACCGTCGATTTGGTAAGGAAATAGCCGATTACGCCATCAGTCCATTAATTTGTGGCATTTGTGCGGGAAATGCGAAAGAAATTAGTGTAAAATTTTTAATGGAGAATCTATTTACTCACGAACAAAAATACGGAAGTATCAGTAAAGGTTTACTGTACGACTTCTTCAATAAAAGTAAAGAGAAGCCTTTACTAAATTCACTTTCACAAAGAGCCACAAGGGAAAAGTGGAGTGTGTATTTCTTTAAAGATGGTATCGAAACTCTGCCGCGGCGGTTGAGGAAGTTTGGGGAGGAAAATAACGTTAATTTTATGTTAAACAAGTTGTGTACCAAGATTGAAATCGGTAATGAAGTTTCTCTGCATACAAATACCGGGGAAATAATTCGTGCAGATTATCTAATATCGAGCATCTCTCCTAAAACACTAGGTCAACTAATTGTAGGTCACAGGGACTTAAACGATTTGCTAGTAAGCATTCCGTGCGTCAGTGTCTGCGTTGTCAATTTGCACTTTAAAAATGAGTTGTTGGAACAAAATGGGTTTGGATTTCTTGTTCCTCCAAAAGAAAATATACCGATCTTAGGTGTAATTTTTGACAGCTGTTGTACAAATACTAAAGGGTCTACCAATTTAACTGTAATGATGGGCGGATACTGGTTTGAAAAGTATTTTGGTAAAAATCCCACTCGTGAATTGCTATTAGACACGGCTCTGCAGCAGCTTAACACAATTCTTGGAATAAAACAACAACCAGACTTATACCAAGTGAGCATTTTACAAGACTGTATTCCTCAATATGTTGTTGGTCATAATGATACAGTTAGGAAAATTCACGATTACTTGCAATCAAAAAAGTTATCGTTAAGCTTATGTGGTAACTCATTTAGTGGTGTAGGAATTAACGATTGTATATACTCTGCTAAGACAACAATAGACAACTTGTGATTAATTTATTAAGTAATTGCAGCATCTTTATCTACAATTCATTAGCATTAACCGAGGCGACACTTCTATTCGCTCTTACCGGCATATTTAACTTCATCAAAAGCTTTTCTCGCTTTCTTCAGTTCTTCATTCATAGTGAGCAAGTCCTTAACTCGCGCATACTTGCGCGCATCTTTACGTACTAAGAACACAATATCCTCAACTTGCACTCGACCAGTTCGACCAATCTCCATTGCCCTAAAGTATCAAGTGTAATTTTTAAAGGAAATTTGACAAAGTATGTATCGTACTTGTGTGTCATTTCTGTTATGAATTCTATTACTAAATCCTCAATAATATCGACGCTTTCCGTGTAAGGATTTTGGTCATCTCCGAAACCGTACATCATGCAACGGAGTTCTTTACTGAACAACCTTTTTCTGCCAACACTGCATAGTGCTAGGGTCGCTTCCGCTCCTTCCTCTTCTTCAAACTAAATGGGACGATTTAAAACACGTAATCTTTAACGTTTTTACCTGTTCCTCGTCTTGAGTTGCCATTGACTTCTGGGTATTGTTTATGTTTAACTAAAGAGGTTTGTTGGGGTAATGCTTTTGTATGTATAAATAATGATAAGTATGCTAAATGGTCTTGTAGAGATTTTCAACGTTGCACTGTCAAATATCAATTGCCTTGCCATTTTGTTGATAATTGGAAAGTACCATTTTCAGATAATAATTATTAATAATGCCGAAATATTATTGTGATTATTGTGATACTTACCTTACACATGACTCTCCAAGCGTTCGTAAAACCCACTGCACAGGTCGTAAGCACAAAGACAACGTTAAGTTTTTCTATCAAAAGTGGATGGAAGAACAAGCCCAGCACTTAATTGACGCCACCACAGCCGCTTTTAAAGCTGGTAAGATCGCAAACAATCCATTTGCTACAGCAGGAAAAGGTGTGGCGATTCCACCACCAGCTGCGCTAACGATGGCTCAACGTCCACCAGGTCCGGGCGCACCGGGAATGCTTCCGCCAGGTATGTTAGTCGAATTTTGTTTTTGAATAAAACTACCTTGTAGGTGCTGCAGTACCGCCAATGATGATGGGACCTCACGGTCCTATGCCACCAATGATGGGAATGCGACCTCCCATGATGGGTATGATGCCAATGGCCCAAATTGCACCTGGAGCTATGGGCCCTGTACGACCTGTTATTAACGGCCCACAAATTAAAAGTTAATTTTTAGGTTTAGTGGTTAGAATAATTTATATTCCGACATATTTGTTTTATGATTTTAAGAACAATATAATATAAATTCAAGTACAGATTTTACGTCTGATCCGGTTGAGGATGTTATATTTATGCTCTAGTGTTATAATGTCCGGAATCAAGTACCTGCTCAACAAAATTTAGAAATGCAAACGTATGGGTCTACTTTAGAGGAGTCGCTGAATAAATCTCGGATGCTCATTTAACATTTACATACATTTGGATTGGATTTACTGTAACTAAGTATTCTTCCAAGTATCGATTGTTCGATCTTGTGCCTTTCTCCATTGCTAAGTATCTTCCTTTCTTTTCCTTCATGTTCCTCCCCCTTGTGCCCACAGTTCCATCATGTGTAGTAGCAAATAGTTTTTTTTCTTCAATGTGACCCACTCAATTATGCTTTCTTTGTTAGTAATTTCCATGATTGATCTAATTTCTTCAACTCTTTAGTACTTCCTCATTCTTCACCCTGTCTTTTCCAATAAAATCCTTCCAGCATATCCAAGTTTGCGTCCATTATTATGCTTTCATCATAACCATATAGCATTACTTTTCCCATACTGTCGTTGGCACTTGTCGCCATTTATTCATTGTCAGTTAGAGAGTGAAGGTGAAATATGCAACCATGATGATAAACGTATTTTTTTGTATATGGAAAATATATTTCGAGCTACCGTGTATATTGTAAATCAAATGGTGTGGGAAAAACCCAGAAAAACCGTGGCAACACTGCAAACATAACCTCCAATATTTTATTTTCACAAGGAAAAATAAAAATTTGATAATTTATGGCTTCGCAATTAAGCACCAAGGAAAAACTGTTGAGTTTAATTGATGATATCGAGTTAATCTCAAAGTAATTAATTTAATTATCATTACACTGACGTACAAATATTTTTTTAGAGAAATGATAGAAAATGCAATTGCCCCCAAACACTTGAAACTATCCTGTTCGGATTATGCCCAACGCACACAGCTTTTGGTAGCAAAAGATACAGAACTTAAAGAGACCTTAAAATTGGCATCGGAACAAGCGAAAATTGACGAAAAGATGGATATATTAAAAGCAGAAGTTGATCGACAAGATCAGGACATTAATCAATTACAAAAACAATTAAAGGAAGCGGAACAAATTTTATCCACGGCGATTTACCAAGCAAATCAGAAGCTACAATCGATTCATCGAGCGAATAAGCGACCGGTGTCGTCGGAGGAACTCATAAAATTTGCACATCGCATTAGTGCATCTAATGCTGTATGTGCCCCATTGACATGGCAGCAGGGAGACCCACGTAGACCTTATCCGACAGACATCGAAATGAGATTGGGGTTTTTAGGGCGGCTGAGTGATCCAATTAACGGTCATTTATTGCAGCAACAGAATAATATTTCGGAGTTGCACAGGTCTGGACATCCGGGAGGTAAGGGTGTAAGCTGTATATGTCATGGTTAATGTATTTATGTAGACATACCTGCCTCGCAACCGAACCAGTTTGCATGGCATCCGTCTGGTGAAATTCACATGAGTGTGGGTCAAGGTAGCGTGCAGGTGGATACACGTAATCATAAGCAAGAAACGGAAGATGTTGAGGTTATGTCGACTGATTCAAGTAGCAGTTCATCGAGCGATTCTCAGTAGTACTTAAGTTTATTTGCTATATAATTTTGAAGTACAATAATTATGGAACGTTGTCGTCATTTATCACTTTAAAGAAATTTTCAATCACTTGATCCATCACCGGGTTACCACCGAGCTTCGCTACTTCGAGAACTGCTTCTTCACGTAGCTTGACTAATTTTTGTCTTGTATACTCGAAACTTCCAAATTTTTCTAACAATGAAACGCAGTATTTCTTTACTTCGTTGTCTTTCGTCCGTTGTCTAAGAATATCTGAAAAGTTGATAAGTCAATATGGAGCAAATACTTAGGATACCTACGTATTATTTGTCCATCATTTGGATTGCTCTGGATGCCGTGGACAATTGGGAAACTAAATTTACCTTCAGTCAAATCCTCGCAGTAACTTTTATGCCTAAAATACTACAATTCTTGTAAGATAAAAGCGATAATGTTCCGCTACGTACGGTTTTAGAATGTAAATTTTGATAATCGTCTAGAATTTGAAATGATAAACCCAAAATTTCGGTTAGTCGTGTGAAATCCTCTTTATTTTCGCTGAACAATTGCATTAAACGGATAGCGAGCATGAACAATCCACCAGTCTCTAAAAGTGGGAATATCAAGTGACGGCGTGCCCAACCAGTGACTTACTGCGAATGGTCATCTGTTCGTATTCCTCTTCGCTAGGGCAAACAAAGTTATCTCGCCAGTACAATTCCATCCCTTGTCCTCGGTGTAAGTTTAATAATTGCTCAGTATACACTTTGGTCGCCTATAAACGATCACATACAACAATGAAGATTCGAAATTGTTTACCTCGGGATGATTCAATTCCAGCACCTTTTCTAGCGCTATAAATATCACATAATTGGCAGCATTAATGGTGCTAGCTATTCCGTAAATGCTGTGTGCCACCGGTATCCCTCGTCTTAAAATCGAATTATCCTGTATGTCGTCAATTCTAAAAGATCTAGTTTTTACTTTTTATCGGCCAGTAAAATAAAAGGGCTAATTACAAAAGGCTGGCGTTATGCAACATTTGAATTATTTCCTCGATTCGCTCTAATTTATCTTCGGATATGTTTAGCCAGTAGTTAAAAGCCCTGGCAAGCTTTGATCTAATGTTTTTACCGGGTGTTTGTGTAATGTAAGTAAAGGGTTGGAGTAGTTTCTGGAAGAATGTTGTGTACATTTGGACAAAGTTCATTTTACTCACTTCATCCTGTGATTTATCTCCTTGTTTGCTATGTATCGAATTTACAGATGACCTTGTGGACATTATTTTAAGTAGAAATGAAGGAACTTTTGCCTGAATTTAATTAGAGTTCCTACAAGTTGAAACTTACAGTTACTTTACTAAGCAGTTCTCATTGAACAAAGATCAATTAATTAGTCATATGATTTTCATCAAAACAAAGGGGAATAAGCAACACATGCAATAACATTATTCTTTTATGGCAATTTGTATGGAGTTGAGAATTGAACTAAATTAAACTAAAAACAACAGAAAATAAAACCAAATAATAATTAAAAATGTTATTAGGCTTTACCCAACTAAAGATTTTGAGGTTATGTTAATACATACACGATGTTTTGTTATCAACGACAGAAGAAGCAGTGTTGCCAGATGATCAAATGAACTATACAGGATGTCCAGCTGGGATCAGACGAAAGACAATCACATTTTGAATATCATAGAAATAATCAAAGTTATTTTTGGGGAGTGGAACAGAGTATATTGAGCACCAAGATTACATCTCGCTTTTGTAATTTCTACCCGGTGAATATAATTAACTGATACAAAGTTTGAGGATTTTAAGAACTTAACAAGTACAGTTAATTTTGGTTTACTGATTTATAATATGTACAAAGCATCATATATAAAACAGCTTCAACGGAATGCGGTGACCGGTGAACGCTGCAGTGGCGTACGTAGAAATTTATTCTGGGGGGGGGATTAAACAAGTTCGTGGCACATGCAGTCACCCAGTGCGTACTAGAAGGGGGAGGGGGGGGGGGGGAAGAAATAGAAATTGGGTTGCACGTTGCACAGGCGAAAAAGATTAGATTAGAACGGTATTTTATTTCTTACTGCTGACAGGCCCCTTTATTGCTTTTGCTTTAATTAGTAAACGAAAATTTTGAATAATAGGTATATTTATGGGCAAAAAGCCAATTTCGACACAAAATTCAAAGGGCTGTAACTTTGATCTAGTAGTCCGATCTTGGAACTGTTTGAACTTATGGATTCTACAGGCCACATTCTATAAGAAAATTTTTTTTCCGGTCGATCTGAGACAATTTTTTTTTTCTGGGCAAAAAAAGCAGTGTATTACCTTCTTTTTTTCCCAAAAATCGACTGCACCAAAATTTCTCGGGAAAAAACTTTTTCTTATTAATTTGGGTGCGTAGAATCCAAAACGATTCGTACTTTTTCGATTAGACGTCTCAATCAAAAGTTATGGGCCAAAAACCAATTTCGACAAAAAATTCAAAGGGCTGTAACTTTTGATCTAGTAGTCCGATCTTGGAACTGTTTGGAATTATGGATTTTACAGGCCACATTCTATAAGAAAATATTTTTTTCCGGTCAATCTGAGAATTTTTTTTTCTGGGCAAAAAAAAAGGCAGTTATTATCTTCCTTTTTTACCAAAAATCGACTGCACCAAAATTTCTCGGGAAAAAACTTTTTCTTATTAATTTGGGTGCGTAGAATCCAAAACGATTCGTACTTTTTCGATTAGACGTCTCAATCAAAAGTTATGGGAAAAAAAAATTCCTGTTTTTAAAATTTAAAATTCTTATTTTCGTGAAAGTCAGGACTCAGGTACCTCACCTCAGTAGCAGTACTAAGTGGTCGAATCAATCTTAAAAAATCAAATCTGCAAATATTTTGAAGTAAACCATTTGTTTAACACTAACCAATTTGGATTTCGATCTGGAATGTCCACCACTATGGCCATAAACCACTTAGTAGGAATAGTAGTATGTAATCCGCGGGTTCTGCGCCACGTTCGCTTCATCCAAACAATTCAACGAAATCACTTGCTTTTTGCCCATTTTGTTCACAAAAAATCGTTATTTCCCTCAATTATTTGGATTATTCGGATGAAGTCTAACCAGATCCAGAATCAAACGTTATACATATATACTTAAAAACACCTCATGCAGTATCAAATTTCAAAAAAAAAAACCCCTCATATAACAAAATTTCAAAAAAAAAAACCTCTTATATAATTATTAAAAATTTTTCGATAATAAATGACAATAGATTTTTTCACCCTGAATAATAAAACTCACCGTAAATCCTTCATAAATTTCAAAGATCTTGATGTCGATAAACAATATAAAATTATAGATATCAGCACAATAAATTACGGAGACAGAATAGTAATAGAAACTAATGATTTCAAATGTGTTTTACCACAAAGATTCTACAATCAATTCATGAAAAATAATTTTCTTCAGAATTGCAAAGACTGTTTAGCCAATAATGATATCTTCATAACAAATACTGGAACTAATTTAAAATTTACTTAAAGATTATATCCAAGGTGTGTGATGGTAATAAAAACCATTTTCAAAATTCACTTTGTAAACCAAAGGTTTTTATCAAATTTAACGGATTTTCACCAGTGTCCCAAATTTTTAAGTTGATAACCTCACTTATAACCAGAAGTACAAGATGCACTAAAAATTTTTTAGTGCTCTTAGTGGTAAAAAGGTAACACAACACCTACTAATGTTTTAGACAGTTTCTGCATAACCATTTAATTTCATTTTCTTAACGTATTTCTCTCTTGGCAAATACGTTAAATTTTTTATAAATTCAGTTTCTTTAATGAACACATCATCTTCTTTTAATTTTCCAGCTTTGAATTCTAATAAAAGTTGTTTATAGAATTTGTATCCCATTTTAAAAACTTCTTTTTTCTCTCCAATATTCATAGATTTTTCGATAATTTCAACAATTATAACACCTAATGAAAGTGATGCTAATGGTAAAAAAGCAAAAGCTGTTAAACCAGATGCTCCAAATACTGATTTGGTAAAAAATAATAATGAATTTAATTTTGAAAAATCTTTATAACTTCTTCTATAAACATAAATTTGTTTTTCAAGGTAAACATCCATTTATATACCTAGATATTCTATCTTCATTAAAATCACTAGGTTTTTGTTCAAAACTATATAATATATCATAATAACTTTCACCTTTATTTAATCTTTTAATAAAGTTTATACAATAAAATCCACACATCATTGAGTCATTTGTTTGTAATTGTGAAGAGTTATACATAATTTTTTTTCCAGAGGTTTCCAAATATTTTTGTATATTTTTAGGTGGACACAGTCCAAAGCTATCAAAATAATAAACATATTTTTTATTATTAAAGTACGCAACCCAATGACTCCCCGAATCAATATAACGTTGAAAATTAACTATACCACATTCATTTTTTAAAATTTTTGAAGGTAATGTATCAATCGCAAAAACACCTCGAAAATTTGATTCATTTTTCAAAATGTCTTCAATTTCTATATTGCTTAACCCCTTTTTCCAGGTATTCTTATACCCGTTCCATACGCTCGCGGATAAGTCAGCTTGCCTGACGCTAAAAAAGAATTTTTCTTAGATTTACACACAGTACAATTACCTTTAACCATTGGCTTATTGTTTTTACTTAATTCATTTTTAATATTATCAGTGGATGTTTTACTTTTACATTTCAAACAATAAAGATTCATTTATTATAATAAAATTTTAGAGGCACGGAATATAAAAGAAATAAAATTAATTAGCGACCCCAGATCTGGGGTAGGTGTTTATTCAATAAAAATTTCCTTACCTAGAATTTTAACATTTAATAATTTTTCACTTTCGACAACAGCGTATAAATAATAATTTTCCGTCGGAGCATCTCTCAATTTCCAATTTATTACAAGCTCTGAACTAGAAGTACTCTCAAGATCGCCCTTTTCCTCCTTAGTCAAATCAAAATAGATTATTGGGTATAAATTTGCAAAATCTTTATAAGAAACACAAGTACCTTCATCCATATCATTCTTCAATCCAGCATTCAAAAACTCAACGTACAATCTCATATAATCTAAATTTTTAGGATTAAAATTAGTTTCAAAGGGTTTAGTAGGAAATTGTTTATTGTTAATATTAATATAAATTCTTTCCATATTCATATTATCAAATATCATTAACGAATTTTTGTAATTAGAT